GTCCTCACTGAATGTTCAGCAAATATGTTCCCTTACTTGAATTTTAATTATTGCTAGGATTATATTTGTTTTAAGCTCTAAAATCAAAAGTTTTGCACTTTTGAGTTTTTGGATTGTCAGCACAGAAATTAGGCCAGTAAATATGTAGAACGTGCCACACATATTCTTGATCTTCTTGAGTTTCACCGCTAGTCTTCTACACTATCATTACTATCACTATCACAAGCAAAGGCAGATGTGAACACTTGCATTCCTGCTCTTGTGTAACAAAGATAGGAAGACAGGTGCAGAAGAACGTAAGAGCAGATGTCAAGCAGGTGTGCCTGCTGTGACTTGCTTATTACTGGCTCCCTTCCCCCATGCCACACCTGCCAAGCACAGGTCACTGCTGGTGCAGTATAGTTTAGCCCAATAAATGCTATCTTCTCTCTTTATCCTTTCCGATTAGCCTAAAGAAAGAATGCATTTCAGATTCTCAAGTACCTAGTCATTATATACCAGAAGTTGGTATAATATTTAACAGGCAATGCCAACTGATACACAGTTGTTAATTGTGTCCGTCAGTTATGTTTTTAGAAGCTAGTAGCCTTTGCCATGTTTTAACTGATGGGAGTTGAAAAAAAAGAAAAAATATGACATATGTTCTGCAGGGATTGAGAATGCAGTCTTAAATCTCTTTACTTATAATAAACCTTATAGTTCAACAGAACTTTCTTCCTAGTACAATAATACACTGACTTGGGAGTAAGGCTAACTAAATAAAATGCAACTTGCTTCTGATTAGTTAAGCCCACCATTGCCTGCCAAATGAATTAATCCAGTGAGCAAAGTTATCCTTCTCCATTTGTTGAAATATACTTTGGAAGCTAGGGGTATCATAAAAAATAGTAGCTGCTCCACTGGAAAGCGAATATAAGGGATGCACTATATTAACAGAGTGATTCAAGGAAAATAAATCTTCAATACAATCCCAATAAATCATCAATAAAATCCCAAGGTGGTGAAGTATATTTTGAATAACAAGGAAATTATCCACATGCTTTTAGAACTACATTTATAAAACATACTTAAATGCATTCTGAAAATAGCAATCAAGAGAATTTATAAAACTATCACAAAGACTGGAAGGAATAGAAAGTTAGGAGAAGCTGAAACATCCAAACATTTATTAGACATCAAAGTCTGCTATTTGGGACTACAAAATTATAGTACTTGAATTGAAGACAATCCAAAATGTTAGGCACACCAGTCCTGTAGTCAATAAGGATTTATTAAGGAGCATAAGAAATTTAAACAATAAAACTGAACTTGGAGAATGACCCAAGTTCCATTTTGTTGGGTAAGATTATTTAATAAGAAAAACCTCTGTCTGTTTTGTCTCATTCTTTTTCTTGTACACATTTAGAATTCTACAGAATGTTTAATGAAACAAACAACAGAAAGCATGATCTCAATTTTCTCCAAAAGCTATTTGGATATATAGCAACAGCACTTAGCACTTAGACTTATATACCACTTCACAGGGCTTTACAGTCCTCTCTAAGCAGTTTACAGAGTCAGCATATTGCCCTCAACAATCTGAGACCTCATTTTACCCACCTTGGAAGGATGGAAGGCCGAGTCAACCTTGAGCTCTGACAGGATTGAACTCCTGGCTGTGGGCAGAGTTTGCCTACAATACTACACTCTAACCACTGCGCCACCATAGCGCAGTAGATTTAGTTACTTCACCAAATGATTTTCTGATCATTGTATTAGCAATGACCAGCAGTAATCAATGTAATTTAACAAATTTAATTCTAGTTTAATTAGACTTTAACTAATTTAATTAAAAGTATTCAACTGAGATGGAATACCTCAAGTTATTACTTATTTAATAATCCATAACGCGGGTGCGGGTTTACAAGTAAATGCTCTTCCAAAAATCATGATTTGAAGAGCTGTGGTGGTGCAGTGATTAGAATGCAGTACCGCAGGTTAGTTCTGCTGACTGCCGGTTGCTTGCAATTTGGCAGTTCAAATCTCACAAGGCTCAAGGTTAACTCAGCCTTCCATCCCTCCGAGGTCGATAAAATGAGGACCCAGATTGTTGGGGGCAATAGACTGACTCTGTAAACCGATTAGAGGGGGTTGTAAAGCACTGTAAAGTAGTATATAAGTCTAAGTGCTGTTGCTATTTACAAACCACAGTGTCTACATTTGCTCACCACAGTAAGGCAAAACAATGAATTATTCTTATGTCTTATAGTATGATATCTAAATAAATTTGATTATGCATTGGTCTTCTGTTAGGTTAGTAGAAGGAAAAACCAAAGCTAATATAAGAATGCCTAATGATACTGCATTTAAAATAGGAAGACTGCCTTACACTTACTGAGAATATATATGTGTATTTATTTCAATGTATTTCTTTACTTATTTCGTTAGTTTATGTATAGAATGTAGTGATGAAGGCAGATAAAGATGCCATGTTGGTTTTTAGTCACCTTAAATTGAGGATAATTTTCTTTTCAATGAAACATATTCAGTAATTTTAATCTAAGATATTTTGTATGGGTTTTAGTATGGTACTTCATAAATGTTGATTTCTGTAAATATTTACATGATTTCTATAATTTCTCTTATGGAATCCACATTCACAATATTTGATTATGTAATTCTTGTGCTGAAAACAGAAGCATTTTAGCCCTAATTCCCTGCCAGGCACGCTTGATAATGTTCTGTTGACTTATTGCCATCATTATTTGATGACTTTTCATTTACAATAACAACAGCAAATGTGAAGTGGAGGAAAAAAAGAAAACTGTTCACAACATTCTTGATTTTAGTGGGAAGCATCATGTACAAAGACTTCAGGGACGGTTATCCAGGAACAGCTGCTTCCGAGCAATTTGTAAGCCTATCTAAAAAGTGCTCATAAATATGCCAATAAAATATGTCAACATTACATGTTCGCATTCTATTTGCTTTAGGTGTTTTTACAACTAAAGGCCATAAAGCCAGGCAGTTAACGGCTCTGTAAAGTCCTCGGCTGCATGACACATGCTTCTCCCCTCCTTCTACAAGTAAATTAAAAACCACAGTTTTAATTACAACCCTGGGTCTTTTTCTTACATGATGCATATATATGACACTCAAATTCTTTGTTTGACTGAGCAGGTAGAGCTGCCAATTTTTTTTAAAAAAACAACAAAAATGTTTTTAGCTATCAAGAACAAGACAAGTACTGACAAGATATAGAAGGAAGGCAAAAGATGCTTGGAATTTCAGAGTAAATACAGTATATACCAGAGAACAATGGGAAATTGCATGGACACACGACTGGCAGGAGGCTCATTTACCTTGCAGTCAAACAAGGGAGTGTTAAATGAGAATGTAGAATTGATTCAAAGCAGCCCAACATTCCAAAGGTGGGGCTGGTTCGTAAAGATGCCCCACTACTGCCTTCCCCAAGAAGTGGCACATGTCCAAAACTACTAAGCATGCAGTCATTAAAAGAAAAAAAGACATACACAAACACCCTGTTTACCAGACAAGTGTATCACAAGCCTACAATGTATTTTAAATGCATATTGTGCAGATTGCTCAACGGCAACACAAACCCTAACAAGTTAACTTGTAACTGCAAAGAGATTTTTCATACAGGCATATACAATTAACTAAAGGCTAACTGAACTTGCATATGTTGAGTGGGAAGTACTATAGTTACAGGCTATGTACATGAACGCACGCTTGTTCTGACCTAGGCTTCCCAAGAGCACGAAGCACACTCCTTGTCCAGGCAAAAAAACCTTTTATTAATTTACTATGAATTCTACTCATTCACATCCAACAAAGTCTTTTAAGGGAGGATTTACAGTCACAGACCTTATCCGGCTTGGAGAACTGACAGGCTGCTATCTGCAACACCTGGCAAGGAGTCTCAGAGAGTCACGAAGCAATTAAGCAAACTCCACTCCCCTTTCGCTCCTCTTTTATTTTCTCTGGGAGGGGCCATTCATCCTCCACCTGTGGCCTTACTCCTAAGTTGACCCCTTTTCCTTAGCTGTTCCATTCACCTGGCAACTCTGCGCATGCACACACTGGGAACAGGCTCCAGCTGTTCGTCTGCCTCACTGATGTCTGACTCTGAAGGCAGCTGGCCCCCTCTCTACCTCCAACACAGAGCCCTCATCAGAGTTTTCCCCAGACTCCAGGACTGGACCATGTTCCTCCCCAACCTCCGCACTGTCGGAATCTGCTGCCAGCTCTGCTGGCCACTGGCGAGCCACAATAATGCTTATCTCTGGTAAAGTAAACCACAATTTACAGAATTTCCTGAATTGGAACAATGTAAACAATAGTATGTCAGTTGATTTTCTGCAACACAGTGAATTACAGGCTTGTCAGCACATCTGGGCTTAATATGTTGTGCAAACCCAGTCATAGGAATTCAGGTTATCAACGAAGAAGTGTTGCTCATGTTCTTCAATAGAAATTTCTAAAATTCCATTATGGGCTGAAACCAAGGTAAATAATATTTGCCCTAAGGAAGTCTTAATGACTGTCAGCCAATGGCCACGTCATTAGAGAACTCTGTGCAGGTAAAGGGGAACCAACATCCAATATACCTAGAAGAATTAAGAAATCTACCTTAAGAGGATGATGAAAATTTGGAAAAAAGTTGCTCTTATCAAAATGCAAATGAAAGTATTTGAGCTTTCTATTGCTTGATATATCTGTCCAAAAATGTTATACAAAGAAGTGTTGACAAATAATGGAGAAACCATCTGGGTCACGGTCATTGGGCTCCAATAGGGCAGATCTTTCTAAAGTTTTAGCCAGATCAAAAGGAAATAAGAATTTCAGATAAATAGTTCATCAGCAAAACAAAGCAGTAGAAACCTCCTGACCCCCAAATCTAATCTTCTGCATATCTGAGTTAAGTCAAGAGAACGCCATGCAATGTTCACCTTAGGGATATCGTGGGTATTACATTAAGAGTTGGGTCAAGTCTATACCTGCAAGTCTGCAAGCTGAGCAGCTGATTTCTCCTGGAGGCACAGAGCCTGAGCCATAAATGCATGCAGATCTTCTAAAGAGAGGCTGTCCACCTAAGAGGCAAAGTTTTAAGACAGAAGCTTAGATTTGGTTACAAATAAGCAGGAAAATTCTTGCTTTGTTCATTATCTGCATTCCTTTTTAGGGGAATGTCAGTCTTATACCTTATCTTATTTTGTAAAAGCTGCTTTTAAAATCTGCATCTGCATCAGAGGTCTTCACGGCTACAGTTAACATACCCTGCTTTACATTCATTTTTCCTACACACAGTAAACTTTGAATACATACAGTATGTGTAGCCACACACATCCTTACACAGAGACACACCATTTTGTCTGTAAATCAGGAGAAGTACAATCCAACATTAAGCACTTTAGAAAAAGGTTGGCTTGGTCTTTGTTAACCAGTTTGTTATCTTGTGCAACATTAAAAAAGGAGATACCTTTTAAAAACAACTTCCTTAATGTCCTGACTAAATTAATACAGGAGAGAAGGGTGACAGAGTGAAAGAGGTCTGATCTGAATGTTCATTACAAAGGCAAGAACAAAGATCCAAGCCACAGCAATTTCCTTTAGTTAGTTCACTCACATTAGGCAACAGGAATTTACAGTTGGGTGATATGAACAAGAACCTTGAACTAGAATCTAGCTTTCCCCAGTTTAGTATTCTTCAGATGCATTGGAATGGTAATTTGCAGAATTTTCAACTAGCAAGTATGAAGATCAGGATTAGGAATTTTGGGATTCATAGCTCCAATATGAATACAGCATCCAGTGAGGACCATAATCTGGGCTGGATGTAAATTTAATGGATTATTATTAATTATTATTAATTATTCATTAAACATGAAACTCAGTCAACTGACCATTTAAAGATGTATCACAAATATTATTGACTGGCACTGATGGTTGATAAGGGTTGCTGCCATCATCATCTCAAATGATAAATTATAAACACATGATAAAATATAATTGCATGGTAAGCACTGTGACCCAGCAGTGTGGCAAATAAATTCCAAATAATCTACAAAACAGGCAAAGCTTACATTTTCAACATTTATTTCATTATCCCTCCAATGAATTTCATGTATTTCCTGTAACCTCCAAGGACTATATGTATTCAGACAATGTGTATTTGTCTGGCAGCGTTCTAGTTGTCAAAATAATAATATCAATAATGATGATGATGGAACCCCTTAACAAAATCCTTACAATCTATTTTTTCCAATACTTTTTCTTTTTATAAACCATCTTCATTATTCCAATCCCATTCTGGGTTCTACAAATGTGAGATGAGATACATAACTAGAATTAGTAATAAAAATGAGCGGTGATATCCTTCAAAAAAAGGAATGATATTGTAACCATTGTCTCAGATTACACAACTTTTCACAGATCTAAAGTGTTAAAGCCATAATTTCAGGATAGGGAAATCCCATTCCATGTCCTCTTCAATAATTCAGTGTAAGATTAGAGACAGGCCCACTCCAAGACACCAAGTAATTTAATTTGCAATTTACTTATGCTTAGAGCAGGGGTCCCCAATCCCCGGTCTGTGGACTGGCACCGGGCCGTTGCATGCCAGCAACCGGGCCACGTAAACAAGCAGAACCCCATCCATGGAATACAGGAAGCACACAAAACCACGCCCCCTCCAGTCCGCAGAAAAACCTCTCTCCACAGAACTGACCCCTGGTGCCCAAAAGGATTGGGGCTGCTTGCCCAGACTATATAGAAAAACAGGTTAACATGCAAGGAAGAACTAGGGGTTTCTTTACTTGCAAAAGAAGGTAGAGTAACAAGGAACAAACAACAAAGAAAGGCGTTTCCAGAGCCCGGAGATCCTCTGCTGAATCTTGAAGTTGAAAGCATGCCAGAAATGTCCAAAGACGTTGGTTCTCGGCCTCAGCACTCCTGTTGAGCCACAGTGTTCTCAAATTAGGATTGCCACCTAGGGAAGAAATCCATTACAGGTGTCATCATCGTAGAAGCAAGCTATGGAAGGTACAGCCATGGCATTTCAATGAGAAACCTCAAGCTTGCAATAACTGTAATGAGCTACAACGTGTTATCAGAGAAGAGGCTGTTACAGGTAGTCCTCGACTTACAACAGTTCATTTAGTGACTGTTCAAAGTTACAATGGCACTGAAAAAAGTGAGTTATGACCGTTTTTCACACTTACAACCATTGCAGCATCCCCATGGTCATATGATGAAAATTCAAACGCTTGGGAACCGACTCACATTTATGACAGTTGCAGAGTCCGGGGAGGGGCATGTGATCTCCTTTTGTGACCATCTGACAAGTAAAGTCAATGGGAAATCCAGATTCACTTAACAACCGTGTTATTAATTTAACAACTGCAGTGATTCTCTTAACAACTGTGGCAAGAAAGGTGGTAAAATGGAGCAAAATTCACCTAGCAAATGTCTTACAAGATGATTTAATTTGCACATTGGAAATAGTCTCAAAATAAGGACATAATGGTTTATTAATCTTATTACCAAATGGATAATTACAGAATGCAAAACCAGGGTACCTCCATGCAGGTATTGTATACAATGTGGAACAAGGACAACTTTAGTCCCTTATGTTATATTGCATTTTATAGATGTTATAATGAGACACTGCCTCCCCAAAAAACAGAGATTCAAATGTTACTATTTATCATTCTTACTTAACTGCCAAAATAATGATGAATCTGAAATAAAAATTTTACATCTAGTAAGTGGATAAATTCTTGCCAGACAGTATTTTAATTCTGTATTTCAGACAAATGGGGCACCATTTTAAGACTCAATCATCCAAGCTACATTTGGTAGCATATCTTTTTTCCTTTTTTTAAATCATTACAAACAGAAGTTGCATTCCTAAGTAAACTACTTGACTGCTATAAATGATTACAGTGTTGAGGTATAACTGAGTGAAAAAGAGCTTATTTATTTAGCAAACAAAACTCACTTAACCAAATGGTACTTTTTTCTGAAGATCCAAAACAGAAAATAAACATTTTGTTCTTCACCCTTAAGACTAGTTTCTTTCCAAGTGTGAAATTTCTTAAGTTGAAGGCCCAAGAAAATGTGTACTTTCCCACCCAAAGCTTCATGGAGTTCAGGAGTACCACACTATGCTCTTACCGCAAGAATATCTAAATATCCCACAATTAAAGGCATTTCTGTTTTTTCTCTTTTTCACTACTTATACTGTACATATTGCTTGTAAGTTTCCCCCTAAAAGAACAAAGATCATATGAGCAAATTTCCGCAGGAGCCTTTGAACTGGGAAGTAATTCAGGAATACTTTTAATTAGCAAAATAATACATGAGCAAAAAGTAAGAAAACAGGAAAAAAGTTTATCATTAAGAGCTAATGTGACAGTCTTCAGGTAACCACTAAAGGTCACTGACACTAATAATGGTGGCAATAATATAAATATTTTAGGAGGCAGTCTTAAATGCCTTGCTGAATTCTATTGGGGGTTTCCTCTTAATTAATACTGTAATTAATACTGCAGCCTAGATTGTTTAGGAATAAATCCCACTAAAATATTATATAAAATCTCAAACTTTTAAATCCCTGAACAGTTTGAGACCTGTTTATCTGAACAAAGTTCTTGCCCAATATATTGACAAACTCAAACTCTTCAGAAATCCTTTTCCAGATACTGCTGGCAAATCTGATGAGGCAAGTGGTTATTAAAAACTTTCAGGAGTATCATATTCTGCCAGACAATTTCTGGTGTTTCTACCTTTTAGAACTAAATAAAACTCATCCTTCTTTTTATTCTTACTTATTTATAAATAAGATCAGAATTTCAAATTTTAGAATGTGAAATTTGTGGGGGAGAAAGATCATCCTGATTTTTCATGAAAATAACTGCTTTAGATTTTGGGCTACAATTTTCTATCAGATTCTGTTGATAAGCCACAGGGTTTTAGTAAATAAAAAATCAAAATAGATTTTAGAACCCTCAAATGATGCTCATTTCCTTGTAGATTACCACACAGGTGCCTGGCAATTTCCCTTGAAAGCATTTTAATGTGCCCTCAGCAAAGAATTATGTAAGATATAGATGCACGGTAGATATGGAAAGCTGTTTCTGACATTGATCTTAGATTGAAGGAGGCCTTGAGAATTAGCATCTGCCAATACCTCATGCAAATGTGTGTGGTCAACTAAATCCAAAAGATTCTTTTCTACTTTTTTAAAAAATATTGATTTTTAAAAATCAGAAAAAAAATGGTTAGATTTACCAATTTAATCACAACACAGTAACTTAGTAAAGGCTGCAGGACTGGATTTTGGCCAGTCACAACATGGTTTTCTTGCTAAAGATTATTATTTTCTGAAAGCCAAAAATATTGTCTTATTAAATAGATATTTATTAAACAAACTATGATTAGCATGAGGTTGTGAGTTTAATCATTGTTAAATAGCAACAAAGTTTAATGGAACATTATTTTAACTAGCTTTGTTTTGTAATGCGTGCAACATATGTATCCATAGATATGTGTATTGATTACAAAATACAGTTTAAAAAATGTGAACTTGAATTTGTTTTTCTTCATTGACTTCAACTGAAACACAGTAGTAAAGCATGTTATAATTTAAATGTCCCAGTGCCAAACTCCTTATTTGGTGAACTACAGTTTCATCTTGCAGAAAATAAAATTGCATGAGAAAATTTAGGAAAAATATTTGCTTTGGACTATTGTACTAAAAATAAACTGGACTAGTCTGAAAAAGAACACAACAGACTTTCCTTTCTGAGGAAATAGTAAACATTGCTCAAAGGCAACCTGTACTATAATTCCTCCTTTTGAGGGAATGTTTTACTATATTGAAATTTCTCATACATATTCAGCCCAAATATGATTTTCCTGAAGCAAATTCCACAAGAGATTGCTTGGTGTTGTTGATCCATAGAAGGAAAAAAAATAGCAGAGTATAAAATTCTTTCTCCATGCTGCATGCTGCATGCATTTTACAAAAAGGCTATTCCTTTTTTTACTATGTCAACCCTCTCTCTAGATTTAGGACAGATATTTTCTGCCCTAATTGATGTTGAAGGAGAAGAGTCCTGGAAGTCCCTTGGACTGCAAGGCGATCAAACTGGTCAGTCCTAGAGGAGATCAACCCTGACTGCTCTTTAGAAGGCCAGATCCTGAAGATGAACCTCAAATACTTTGGCCACCTAATGAGAAGGAAGGACTCACTGGAGAAGATCCTAATGCTGGGAAAGATTGAAGGCAAAAGAAGAATGGGACGGCAAAGAAATAGGTGGCTGGATGGAGTCACTGAAGCAGTAGGTGTGACCTTAAATGGACTCTGGGGGATGGTAGAGGACAGGAAGTCCTAGAGGAACGCTGTCCATGGGGTTGCGAAGGGTCAGACACGACTTCACAACAAACAACAAAATTGAAATTGATTTGCTCCCACCAAAGAGTAGACCATTCCTCAGCAGTCTGGCCCAACAAGAGAAACAGTCTCAATTTTTAAGATTTCTTAATTTCAAGGCATATTACTCAGTGTTCAGAACAAAAATGAGAATTAGAAGTAAGAGTTCATCCAGCCTGACTTTTTTTAAAATCAAGAAATTTCTACTGTTGTTGTTTTGCTTTTGTCTCCTCTATACAATGTACCAATTACCAATGTGATGAATGACTGAATCGGCACAAAGTGCCCTAGGGATGTTCCTGCCAGAGTTTGTTGCAGCAATCAAATCCAGAAAGCACACACCGGTAACTGATTCAGCAGGAGTCATTAACTTCTCTTTATATATAATATAACACATGAAGTAAATATACAATACCAAAAGCAGGTTTTCCAACTTGGTAGCAAATACAAGCAAGCACAGGCAGAGGAAACAAGAGTTTATGTTTCAGTTCAGAGCAGATTAGTTTTGAGCTCATCACAGACTCAGAGCTTTAGTACAGAACAGTTGAGCTAAGACATGCCCAGGCTCCTAGCTGTCTCCAGCAAATACTGTTTCAGTTTCCAAACAGCCCTCATTGACTTACTTTGTTGCTATGCCTATTCATTGGCTGATCTTGTTACCATGAATTCCCATGCACTGACAGTTCCTACAGTATGTTTTTGACTGTCCTAGATATGAAATGGGAAAGTGGGTGATTCCAAGTTAGGTCACTGGCCATCCACTTCATGTGATCTATGCTTATTCCTAGCAGGTTTTCATGCTTTCCTAGCTCTATCTGCAAATATCAGGAACAGAACAGGAAACCTTTGGCATGAAGAACACCTGTTTTACTACTGAAATATAGTTCTTTCTCAATCATGTTAATTATTATTTTCTTTTCATTTAGAGAGGATGGATTTACTTTATATCTCAGAGAACGTGTTCTTCCTTGTTTATACTGGTTTCCCTGGGGATGGTGAGAAGAATGGAACCTATCAGATAAATCTATTGGACAGAATATCCTTAATCATGAATCTGAAGCTCAATCAACCGCTTAAATTAAACTTAAGTCCCCTGGCATCTAATAAACTAGGTTCTTATTAGGGAAACTTTATATCATGCTGTATTTGCTAATAGGGGGCATGATAATCCAGCGGTAAAGAAGCTGAGCTTTTCAGCTGGAAAGCAGACAGTCAGGGTTTGAGACCAGAGCGCTGGATGACAGGTAAGCTCCTGTCACTTGCTCCAGCTCCTGCCAACCTAGCAGTTCGAAAGCATGCAAAATGTGAGTAGATAAATAGGTACTGCTTTGGCTGGATGGTTACTGCATTCTGTATTTTTATACTGACCCATATCATGAAAACAGATCCGCCTCAGGAGAACATAGGCTCCCTCATCTTGAGAATTGGAGATGAGCACCATCTCCTTAAATCCGTCACGACAGACAGGGGAAACCTTTAATCCCTTTAATATTAGCTAAAAGTGAAGATCAAACCAATATCTCTTTATACCGACTAAACCTCTTGAATTATACACTGTTTCAAATCCTATTCTAACATGAAGACTTTGTTAGAAATGTAATAAATATGCAGATCTATTGCAAGTAATAAGGATTGAGTGGTTGAGATTATCTGGATCAGCCTTCTCTAATCTAAGATTTTAACATATCTGGAGGCAACAGGGGAAGCATAATCTAGGTTCCGAGCACTCTAGTTTATGGTTAAATGATTATGAATATAAATTGTACTAGTCACCATGGGTAAAGATCTCTGCCAGGAGACAGACAAGCTGTTCCTTGTTATAGTCTCTTGATTTCTTCTTATTGTTCCATACTATTAACTATTAGGGCTGCATTATTGAAGGGAATATAAATACAGTCTTGGGATTTTTTTGGATTCCACCATGAGTAATTCATATATTTTCTTAAGTTTGGTGCATACATCATTATGGCTGCTTCTAGTAATGTGTGCCTGTGTGCACATACATACACAGCACACTACTTTTTAGGAACATAAGTATAGTCTTGCAGAATAAAGCCTATATCTAGACAACGTCTGTCTCATCCAGTGGCCCATCTCATGCAAAGGGAAGCCTTTCTCATACATGTATCAAACATGTAAAAGTGGACTTTTCTCATGCTTGGAAGCAGCATCTGTCAAAGTTAGTAACTTATGAAGAATGATTTGCAGACAGCTATGTTGAAAGAACTGTATCCCAATGTATTGTTCAGCTCATTCTTGGTAATTAAATGTGTATGGGTAATGTTCATGATTCTGCAATGAATGCTTCTATCAAATGTGCTTGAATAGCAACCTATTTTAACCTATCTACATATGAAAATTGACTCAATCTGAATCTTTCTTGCGTCCTCCCCTTATGTTTTACTTGGAAACAATGCTGTTTTATTTATTTTTAATTATTGTAGAGTTGTTCTTCTGATTCTTGATGCATGGAATTTTATTGATGTTTATTATGTTTAGGGATCATCAACTTACAACATCTTCTTGGCATACTACAATTTTTAAAAAAAATTAACTTGACTTCTTAGTAACGCTTAATTCTCAAAACTCCAATGTCTGATAGGGTATTTTTTAACAAATATTTTATATTTAGTTCACATTTTAATACAGGAGGAAATCTCGTTCTACCTGGCAGTGGTTTGGGTTGCACTAGGTCTGGCTGCCGCAAGGAATTTCCAGCATATACAAACCATTCTTTGACTACAGGATAAGCTCCACTGGCATCTAAAGAATAGAGAATTGGTTCAATGAATTTAGATGAGAGCAGACATTGTACGATTTGTAAAAACAAAGGTATGATGATTTAGGCTCATTCCCATATCTTAATGGGGATTAAACCCCAATGGATCCTACATAAAAATTTTCTCAGATTTGTATGTTTAGAGTAGGGATTCCTATAACTTTTGCCATCACACCTCTCTTTATTGTAATCTTAATGCACAGGCTTCCCCTAAAAATCCAAACATCAAAATGGAGAAAAATAAACTATAAAATGCATTGAAACTTCAGAAAATATTTATTGTAACAACATAATTAAAAGGTTCTTTACACCTACCCTGAGCTCTGTCTGCACCTACCCAAGGGAGGTAAACAGTATTCCACATTTTAGGAGCCAGAATTGTTCTGTTAACCTGCTGACTGCCAGCTGACTGCAATTTGGCAGTTCAAATCTCACCAGGCTCAAGCCTTCCATCCTTCCAAGTTGGGTAAAATGAGGACCCAGATTGTTGGGGGCAATATGCTGACTCTTTAAACCGCTTAGAGAGGGCTGCAAAGCATTGTAAATCAGTATATAAGTCTAAGTGCTATTGGTTGTTTGGCAATTTTCAATATCACTGAATATAGCATCTCTCTTGATCATCCAGGAGGTTCGGAAATAGAATGCATTACTTTGCAGATGTCAGGTAACATTTGCCAAGTCAATTTCAGATAGAATTGCTTCGCCTTAAGTTGTACTATTTTTTCCTGTCAAATTTCTACTAAAATTCATTTTCCTCCATTATTATTCTAAATAATTTTGGGGGAAAGAGAGTTAATATCTTAAGGACAACTCTTCAAACTCATTTAAGATCATTATTACAACACTTGGGAGGAAAGCACATTTTTGTTAAAATAACCTTTAAAAAAATCTACTATATTAGGCTACAGTTTTGCTCTGCTTGCTTGCTTATTAACAGCTTTCATAAGTATTTGATTATAGGGGTTGTACGAGATTTCCTTAAAAGGTTCAAAATACACCAGCTCTCAAGTGCACACAACTTCCTTCAATTATTTCCAATGGTCTTCTAATTAATTACATGTGGCTTGCCTACAGTATCGAGAACAAAATTGGGTTATCTATGCAAGCCTTGCATTTAGAAACTGCACAGATCACTTTTTCAAATTTTGTGCATAAGCATGTGACCCAACTGCAATTCATTACTCCAAGCTTTGAAGATTCAACAGTAAATTTCTAATGTACCCTTTACCTTTTGCAGACTCCAGCAGGATGGAATAGATGTGCTGCCGAACAGGGCAATAGATAAGTGCCTGTCCAGGAAGGGAGGTATCATATTCATCTTCCAATGTGTTGCTGCACTCAAGTTCTGCATGGCTTAGGATATTGTATATCATATGATTTTCAGCTCGCATGTGTTGTTCTTCAGCTATCTGTCACAAGCAGAATAAATAAATATATATATTTGATTTGCTTTTTTAGCTTCAGAACACACCTTTAATTCTTTTTTTTCTCTTCAATTTATGAGTGCCACAGAGACCCTAGCAATGATGTTGGTGACAACTGAGAGTATGACTTTTTCAGCCATTTATTATGGGAGATTAAGAACAAATAGATGGACTAAACCTAGAATTGATTTTCTGTAGTTAGTGTTTGTTTCACTAACATTTTTGTGTATGTGTGTGTATGTGTATATACACACACGCACATACATGTGTACCTTTATATATGTGTGTAAAGGTTCCCCATGCACATATGTGCTAGTTGTTCCCAACTCTAGGGGGCGGTGCCCATCTCTGTTTCAAAGCCGAAGAGCCAGCGCTGTCTGAAGATGTCTCCGTGGCCAGCATGACTAAATGCCGAAGGCGCAGGGAATGCTGTTACCTTCCCACCAAAGGTGGTTCCTATTTTTTCTACCTGCATTTTTACATGCTTTCAAACTGCTAGGTTGGCAGAAGCTGGGACAAGTAATGGGAGCTCATTCCATTACGCAGTGCTAGGGATTCGCACCGCTGAAAGATGGCATAAGACACACACACACACACACACACACCTCTTATGCCATCTTCAACACCGCAAGGCCATAAAAATGAACCTAAAAAAACATAGGTGAACTATGATTTGTTCACAGTTCACAGTTCGTTGTGTATCATTGGGAGACTAACGAGGATTTAACGTAAAAGAAGAACAGACTATCCTGTACCCCTTCCAAAGAAAACAACATAAAGTACTAATACTTAATATAATATCCATCTATGTAGCCAAACTATCAGCTCTTTGTAATTGCCTGAATTTGGGTAACACAGGTAAGGAATTACCTGAAAGATTTCCTGATCTAAACAAATAGGGAAATCTTTCTTCTGCTCTGCTGCTAACTGTAATGTAGATGTGAAGTCACAAGGAAGCCAGGGAGAATGCTGTCCAGGCAGCAAGTAAGATTCTATTCCTTTGCGCAATATTAATTGGTCTGATCCCAAAGGCAGCATTTTTTCCAGATCCATCAAACTCTCAGAAACATGTGGAATAGCTGAAATATAATTTGCAACAGCAATAATAATATCTTTCTTGTCACAGCTTTGCCTTTTTGCCCGGTACGAAGATAAACATTGATTCCGAAAACCTTCCATAGCTCTTTCTGGGACAGTGTCTGTGCCAAGGAGGCAAGCCAAAAGGGGAAGGTCTGGGATACGGAGACCAAGCCAACGGCAGAGATTTTGTCTTGAGTACATTACTGTTTCCAGTGAATCCAAGTGTAGCTTACTAATGGAAAAATAAGGAACGGTATCGTAAATCAGGTAATCTGTGTCTTCTCCAAGAATTCCCATACAGTTGTTCTTTTGTGCATAATTTGCTATTTCATAGTCTGCTTCTTGCAATGAACATATCACCTCTTGACCAAGAGTTTTCAAGGCAAAACGCGTAAATGTGGCCAGTCCAGATGGTATAAAGAACATTCCTCTTCCAGGTTGCTGCTTATTGGCTTTGATGAACTCAAAGATCTTAGCTATTTCTTTGTTATTTCTCAACCTTCGTTTGACCCATTCGTTTCGCTTTTTTTGCTCCACAAGGCCATCAAAACAGAAAACTAGTTTGATACCAGCGGTTGTAAAGTGATTTATGAAACTGTCCAAATTGGAACGATATTCACGCCATTGGCCCCCACAGACCCAAGATTCTGGTGTATACCAGTGTCGAAGACAAGACATAGCATCTACTACAAGGACAGGAACAGATCCAGGATGAGTTCCACAATGGTTTTCAGCCACATCTTTCAGATTTATCACTATACATACATCCGGACAGGCAGTGACCACAAACGTATATAAGCCTTTAACACCCATACTTTTAGTGCATAGAAAATCTCTATTTCTTCCACCAGCTAAAAAAGAGAAAGAAGACAATAGTTGTCATAATTGTTTACCAAGTGCAATTTCAATCCATTTCAATATCATCCTAAGGAGAGATAAGATAATAGGATTTTAAAGAAGTATTCTATTAAAGTGATCTCAGCATTATTTTTCACTGTTTAAAATAGAAATAACATTCACAAATCTTCAGACAATATTTCTGTTCAAGTACTACATAACATCTGAGTCTTAACACTTTGAGAAATATGTTTAATTTGGGGAACAATTTACTATTTTTGAGAAATGTTGAGAAATGCTTTCAGGGATATGATAAAGTCAAGGTAAATGTGGACTTTAAAAATAATACTACACATTTCCCAGAATTGTCTTCTAAAATGCCTTTATGGTTGTCACCACAAGAAGCATTTTATAGAAAAGTAATGATAGTTAAACAAAATTGGTTAACCTAGGCTGAATTGCTAAATTTTGTAAAGAATTTAACTTAAAAATAAGAGGAAAGTCAGAGTTAGGTTTTATCTGCCATTGGTTTCCTATGATCAGCTAATGGAAAGTTGGATAAAAAGAATTACAATTTGAAAACAGTAAAACTAAATTTGATGTAGAGCTCTGTACAGATGATGATCGTATTATTGTTAATATGTATAAATTTATTGAAAATTGTACAGAAGATAATAAATGTTAAAGATTGTATGGGCAAAAATATGTAAGTTATAATATACAGTTGGATCAATGGGACAGTATGTGCAAGAATGGGTTGAAATTTAGATTAAATTATAATCTTACAGAGAATTTTTATAAAATGATGTATCATTAGTACAGGATGAATTGCCAAGAATGCATGAGGGAATTTCAAATATTTATTGGAAATGTAATCATACTGAGTGAGGGAACAGTTTTTCACCTTTAGTGGATATGTAACAAAGCTATAAAGTAACAAGATCAGGTATGTATTTTGATGCAGAAGATTTTAAAAGTGAATTGGGTCTTGCTGGCAATTTGCCTTTTGCACAAATATAAATATATTCTAGTATCGATAGAAGACAGTACAGTTTTTGTAGTTCAGGTTGAACTGTGGTGTTCTTGGTGGTCTTCCTGACTTTCATTTAAACTTCTTGAATTTCATTACTAAACTGGGTAACATAATCAGCACCAATAGGAAGTGGGGTTTAGTTTTATTGGTCATTCTTTGATTAGGTGGTGTTTATGATTTAAGTTTTTTTATTTGTGTTGATATTTACTTGATTGGGGTATTATTTACTTCTTGATTGTTGGAATGCTGTTAATGCAAACAATGTAAGAATAGTAAAGTTTTCATAGCATGTACATTGAGTAAAATTTAAATTTTAAATTAAAAAAATGTATTTAAGGTGTTTTTTTTATCTAAAGCAAGTCTTATAATTCTGGTTCTTCTTCTGTTTTTTATGCTACTGAAAATAAAATTTCACTTCTAATACAGAGAGAGTAGACATTAGCAACACTTAATTAGTGCCGCATCATTTTTTCACACTGCTGATTTCTCACATTTTCGTTACTGTACAAAATACCTTGGAAGTGTTATATTCAGTATGTTCTATTCATGAAAATGACTGTGGATTTTTAACTTGCAACTTTAAAAGATGCCTCTAGCTTTTCTTTAATGGTTTCTACCCCTTATGTGCTATTATCACATTCCTTTTTACTATAGTGCAAAAATAAATGTTTCAATTGGTCTAGAAATAACATGAAGGTACTGATGGTTGCTTTCTAATATATTCTTGGGAACTTTAATCTGAGAACTATTTATGAACCTAGTCTGTGTCACAAGAGTCTTAATTTATAGCTGATTCTTTATATGCAAAGGTGAAAATATTAGAATGAGTTTTTCTTAAAATCTGTTCAAGATAGACAATCAGATTTAATTCTAAGTGATAACCAGGATTTTATCATGAGATAATGCTACCAACTTGGGTGTCTTTAAAACGGGACAAACCAATTCATGAAAGTAATGGGGATAATTGCTTAAACCTTGATGGTAGATAGCATGATTGTTAATTTAGCAAAGAACAAAGGGTATACACGTGCAAAGGAAAGGGAGATTGAACACAAGGAGTTTAACCCATTAATTAATTAATGCACAAAGTATGGATAACAACTTAGCTGAAAGTCCTGAAGCACAAATATGATATCAGGAGAATTACTGGAACATGGTAAGGTAAATTCTGCTTGAGCAACAGCAATGTAACTGCTGATGTAGTGCAGTCCATCAGCAATGAACTTACTTGTCAGATATCTACTTGGCTGATGGTAGCATTAATGTTGAAAGCTCCTGGGTTCAGATAAAAGGCAAACCAACAGAAGAAATATGTTGCTAATAATCCACCGGAGACTATCAACCCAGTCAGAAGGAGATGGAGCACATAAAAACAATTCTGCACTTGCACTAAAGCATCTGTCTACCCCAGAAAATATTATGCCATTTCATTTCCGCCCTGATAAAAGTACTAACCAGATTTACTGGCCTGTTTGACGTCCTTTCCTTTACCAGGATGAGAAGGCTTGCAGTCTGCATGTGTTTCCAGAGACTTCTGGTTCCTGATTGTCTTTCATACATGTATGGTGACATACACAGAACTTAAAATATAAAACTTTAAATAAAGCAAATAGCATTTTGAAACAAACTAAAACAATCACTGTCCTTTCAGTCCCATATAAGGATATTTTATTTTAATGGTATTTATTTTTCTTCTGTTTTTTAGTCTCAAAGCAAAAATTATAAAAGGTGGGAATATTACTTATGAAAAGTGTTTGTTCATTTGTTGAACGTCTATCTGGTTTCAAATTTAAAGGCACAATAATGCAGCACATTTAGGTACTAAGTACAAATGACATCCTCTCTTGCAACAATAAACAAGATTAAAATAATGTTAATAAGATATAACTTCCTACCAGATTCAGGAATGTGTGACAACCAAACATTCAATCAGTACATTTCTCCTCTTATAATGGAAATACAATAAAGGAATCAGGAATATGGATCTATAATACACACACATACACACACACTATTACATTGTTGGTGAATGTTGATCTTCATTTTATTTTTAAGACAGTGGCAAATGATGCTAAATCAGAAGTTACAATTTTTGAAAATATCTGGGCATAAATTCCTGGCTCACTCTAAAACTATGGTGTATAATGACCCTGTTCATGCACTACATTATAGCTGACTGTAGTATTTGCATACAGTAAAATAGTTCAAGTATATTACTCAACAGTAAGGTCAACTCAGTTTAACCTGATATGCCCTCATGCTTACTAAGTAAGCTAACACAAGATTTCAGTTTTTGATTGATGCCTATCCAGCGAACTTCATAAATGTCATCTAAATATATTTAGGATTGTATCTCAACATAGCATGAATAACTAAAGAGCAGAGTAAGCTAAATACTTGGACATTCAGTATAAAGGCTACAATAGTACTACTGAACCTTTGGCAGTTTTGGTCTGTCTTGCATATGCATCACACATAAGAACACCCAAAACTTTGATCACACCCCATGGCCATCCCTTGATGTTTTTGACCACACCTTGTGAACATCCCTGAAATCTGAGATCCTGCCCCGTTTTTCTCCCCTTGAAAAACATGTCCAAGATGCATACTGTTCATTATTGCCTTCAATAAATCATTGCATTTTCTGGAGACACCTTCCATGGTTCTCCCAAAAATAATTAACTCAATCTGGGTTCATTTTGTAGCTGCCCACAACTCACTGCTGGGTAAACTGACCAAATGGCTGGATCCTTACAACACAATAAAGTACAATGTTGCATGGACCCATCTTATTGCCTATTATCAACAGCTCTTTGGGTTCTTCTATCTCTCAGCAGCCCCTAAGTCCACGAGCCGGAAGAAACGGGCTTAGTTCTGAGCCGGGAGGGACGGGAACAACACCCTGCAAAGGACGGGCATATTGCTGACAAAGCCCTTATCGGAGGCTGCAACGTCCTACCAGCCTCCCGGCCAACTCTTGAGTGTATCCTCTCAAAGAGTTTTAATTCCACCCTACAGCATATTCGGAACCATTTCACGGCCCGTGATTGAAACATCCTTGGGAGGGAATTGACGTTCTAAAATAAGTACTCTTAGGAGGACAGCAGCCTTAAGGTTGTACCTTATGCCTCTTAATTCTCTGGATTCTAGGCCGGATACTAAGAGGTCAACTCAGAGCCAGATGCCGGGTTTGCGCTGAACGCTTCCTTTCAATGTATCCCTTTGCAGTGCTGTTGACGGAGCGTGCGCACACTTTAAATGTCTCTATGGTTCTTTCCCCGGGAAGACGGGATTGGCGGCGGTCACGTGATCCCCCACCAGACGCTCTCTTGTCTCTAAAGCATAAAGAGCTGGCGGACGAGAAGACAGTTGACAAACAAAATGTAGTGTTTAGGAAAAGGACGTGTGTCTCTTGTTAAATGCCACTACAGCGTGGAAGTTAAATCTCCCCTGACAGCTACAGTAATTTGTAGAAACAGAGCAAGAGCCCAAGACCGCTCTGCATGCATGATGTCCATACTTACTACAGTTTTGTACAGTTTTTGTTTTGGACGTAAATATTACTTTCACATTGTATCTCTCTAAAACAACTTGCTATCTATACTTTTCTCTACCCTTCCGTTGGAACAAAAAAATAATGCTTACAGATGTTATTTTTAATCTCAATTATCCTTTTGGTTAAGGTTTCCGGTGAAATAGTTCAGTGCTTAAATGTGAAAAGGCTTGTTTTGATGTTAGTCACTGATGCAAGAGGTGAGGAATTGGATATTTCTAAAAAGATGCATGCCCTCAAATGTTCTGCTGTTGGAGGATTTTGGTGTTATTTTTAAAAGACTTGTTTAAACAAAGCAACAGGAAAACTATTTTTGCTTTATTTTTATTGGGGGGTCTGTCCCTTTTTTGAAGCTAGGCTTTAAAAAAGGTGGTTTCCTAGCAGCAGAATGCAGAAGGCCCATTCATACAACAATAGACAGAGAGGAAAGAAAGGGGCTGGTTTGTATAAACTGCTTCTGTCTTCATTCACACAGCCTGATACCCATGGGCATTGTGTGGGGTTACAATGGAGCTAAAGGATGCATTGTGGGTGAAAACAAATCAAAACAGAGGAAGCGATCAGAGAAGAGTAGTAGAACAAAATTGTCCCCAAAATTGAAATCTTACATCTGAGATTAGGGTTACTTTTTAGCTGCTTGGCATATTAAGCAAAGTTTCTATTAGCTGCAGTATTAAAAGTTTAGCAAAACTTTACATGGGGATTTTGACCATTTGCAAAAGGCAAAAAGGTGCACTGACTGATGTTTTGCTCCTCGCCATTGTCCTAATGTTATAGGAATTTTGCACAAAAGGGCATTAGCAATTTCTCCAGAAAGTTTCTTTATTGGTAGTTGACAACTTTTTTTTTACTAAATTTTAAAATATTCTCTAAGATATAGTAAATAGGCTGCCTTCTGTTCCCTTATCATAGCAGAACCATGAGTGTCTTGCTGAAAATTTTGATGATCCCATAACCGACTTCAATAGGCAACAGGTGGAAGCTTGAATAACTTCACATATCTTTCCAGGGGAAAATGGGCACAGTAGGGAGCCAATTGGAGGATTAGATCAGATGTTATTGCCAATGAAGAAATTAAATGGGGCAGTGCTCAGGGGAACACAGATTAATATATTTAGTGACTTTGCATATACAAAAGCTTACCATTGTAGCCACATCTGAATGCCTATGAATAGTGTGGACCATGTGCAGCCTGTCACTGCAGGTGCCTACATCTGTTCTTCTGCAGGCAGATGTTCACAGAAAAAAGACCCCCCAACTCCAGAAGCAGAGAATCTATATCATTCCCAAACTCCAAAATCACATCTGAAAAAGGACTGGAAATCATTTTTAAAAAGAACTTCTGCTGCAGGTGAAAAATAAAACTATGAGAAAAGCATTAAAAGAAAATGGGATATTCAGATTTTCTGCAAATGGCAAAAGAGAAGCAAAAGGGATATTCTAGAGTATTTATTAGCAAATAGAGATTTTCTGTGACATTGCAATTTTAAGTGCTCTTAGTTTGAATATAGTTCCAGTGAATTCTGCAGAAAATCTAATGTTTGAGTTATATAAGCATAAAAAAATGGACAAGTAAATATCCCCCTACTAATGCAATTCATCCCATGCTTAATTGCACATACATTAGTGGATTATATTCTGCATTTGCTATTAAAAGCTTCATGTTGAAAAGCCTTGTTTAAAAATATCATCTTGGATATGATGATATCTATGCAATATATGCATCTATGCATATATTTCAAATTGGAGTCTGTACAAGCAGAATAACATTACAGCAACAATCCAATATTTAAAAGTAATGTTTAATAGAACTAAATGAAAATTTTGAAGTCAAAACAGACACATTAAGGAACTAATGTAGTTAAATTACACAAATAATATACATTATGTTATGTGATAGGTTTGTTAATATTGCTGTAAGCTGCCCAGAGTAGCTCTTCGGTAAGATGGGCTGTGAATAATTTAAACAAACAAATAAACATCAACAATACAATAAACTAAACATTCTTGATAACTTTTCGGGGTGACTTGGGTGGGGCATATAACTTAAAATTATAATATATTTTTACTGATAAGTTAAAACAAATCTTCAACATATTAAGATAATATTCTAAAAACTAGTTTACCAAGATATTCATTCTGACAAATATCTTGTCCTTGTGGCAAAAAAATATTTCTAAAAGCAACATATTAGCACATGCTCAGAGGGATAATGAACAATTTAAAAATTCTAAAGCCACATATTTACATAAATTATGGGTCCTGCATAATGCATATGCTTAACCGCTATTGTCTACAATTGCTAGAGCTTTTTCACCCAGTGTACCTAGATACCTAATGTTTTGCGTATTCCAGGTGTCACAATGTAGACATGTTATACATACAAACATACAATAGCAGTTGGAAGAGACCGTGGAAGTCTTATAGTCCAGCCCCCTGCCTAGGCAGGAAACCCTATACCGTTTCAGACAAATGGCTATCCAACATCTTCTTAAAGACTTTCAGTGTTGGGGCATTCACAACTTCTGGAGGCAAGCTGTTCCACTGATTAATTGTTCTAACTGTCAGGAAATTTTTCCTCAGTTCTATGTTGCTTCTCTCCTTGATTAATTTCCACCCATTGCCTCTTGTTCTACCCTCAGGTCCCTTGGAGAATAGTTTGACTCCCTCTTCTTTGTGGCAACCCATGAGATATTGGAACACTGCTATCATGTCTCCCCTAGTCCTTCTTTTCATTAAACTAGATATACCCAGTTCCCGCAACCGTTCTTCATGTTTTAGTCTCCAGTCCCCTAATCATCTTTGTTGCTCTTCTCTGCACTCTTTCTAGAGTCTCCACATCTTTTTTATATTAGGGCCTTAATGTTGCTACCAATACGGAAGGTAGGATTTTAATGCACCTTATTCTGTGAGTTCCAGGAACAGATTGCACTTCAGATGGCCTTATAAAGTGAACTTTATTTTGTTGCATTCTTACTGTTTTTATCTTGATTTATAACAGATATTGTTGATTGCTTTTCTAGTTTTAATGGGGGATTGTATTTTGCTCTGGGTTCTGAGAGGAGGAAGAAGTTGATACTAATGATTATATTAATGTATGCATAGGTCTGGCTTATAGTTTCTATTGATTTCTTAAGAAATTGTGGATTTTAGATTTAACAGTCTAGAGCCCATCCCTCTTTTCAATAATAAATAATGGTAAGTTAACAATCTCATCCGCTAGTGAAATGTTCTGACAACAAACCAGTGCTTTTGTTTCTATTACAGCCATATTATATATCTAATTAGAATGAGCCCAAAGATCAAGGCTGCGCTCACATCATCTGATGACATCACAAATGTTCTAGAGAAGAGTCTTATAAGCAAAAATTGCTGCCAAGTTATTGTTTATGTGACAAAGGAAAACTTATTTCTAAAATATGCTTAATTTTGATTTAGCTTCAGGTCAGAGTCTGTTTTAGGTTATACTTGAAGGCCTAAAATTATAGGCACTCTAGAGTACAAATGGAAAAATGGAATGAGAGCTCTAATTTTACGTAAGTTTTGTATAGGTAATATTTTATTTTATGAAGATAGTAGATTGCAAGTACATGTGTTAAATTTTGAGAATGTACTGGTATTTGATAAATTCTGATATATATTTTCTTCCTAGTGTTTTCCTGCAAGTGCAGGGTCAACTTTTTTTAGATCAACCAAACATTACAGGAATGTACTGAGCAGCATGTTATCTAGCATCATGGATTGAGAGAGAATGACTGGCCCAAGGTCAACCTGCCATTTCATGTCTCAAGTGGGAGTAGAACTCAACTGGTTTCTAGCCTGGTGCTTTAACCATTAGAACAAACTGGGTCTCCTATTTGATCGATATTGAAATGGTCTACAAACAGTATTGTTTAATATGGAAATCTGGATTTGGAAAAACAAGTGTCCTCCAGAAGTCTACAATGCGGATTTTATACATTTCTGCCCACCATGGGCAAAACGTCCTGAAATAAATATTCTGAGGAAGCATTCATACCACTAATGGCATCCAATAATTTCCAATTATTAATTTTATTTGATTTCTTTACTCCTTTTCTCCCATTGACCTGTTGGTTGGTTAAGGTGCGTTCGGTCCAGGGAATCAACTCGGAGGGTTTTGAATACTACTAGGCAGATAACGAATGCAAAGAAATCTAAGAATCAGCTCTAAAACGTCGGCCCGTTATATGTATAGCACAGACTCTAAGTATGCCCCTGCTCTCCACCCACCAAGAAATCTACGCTTCCGTCTTCCGCCGGAGAGTCCTACAAGCAATCTGGGGAGAGGTTGAAACAGGATCCCGCGGGAAATAACATCCCGCCTTGGCAGGCGGATCTGCAATGTTTGCTAAGCCTCAGAGAGGTCTCTTCTCACGGCCCGGCAACTAGTTTTTGATTTGTTCAGCAGCCCCGGGAGATGCTCCCTGGGTCGACGTCCAGGCACGCGACTGACCTCAGGTTCGGGAGGAAAAAAATCAACCAAAAGCCCTTTCCCGGTTAGGAAAGAATTGGGGGGGCGGGAGAATAGCCCCGAGTAGGCTCTTTCCATTGAAGCCAAAGAAATCAGAAGGAGAATGGCAGCGAGACTTCCTTCCTTTCCTTCCTCCCTTCCCTTCCTTATTCAAGGATTTCTCCCTTGGACCCCAGCCTAGGCAGGCCCCCCGATCAGATTTGTTGAAGCAAGGGCTGGAAAGAGCAGCTGGCGGCAGCAATCTGATGAAGAAACAAAGGAATGCCCCGCCAGTTCTGGGATCCCAGGTAAACACGCCTGCTTTATTATGGAGAGGAGAGGAGCAGATGATTTGCGGTTGGAAAACGGGGAGGGAGAGGCGGAGAGAGGGAGAAAGCGGAGCCGGGGGAAGTCGTGGGAGGGGTGGTGGTGGGAGCGGTCGCAGGGAGCTGGTGCTTATCTGTCATCTGGCTTCTCTGTGTGCCAGCTGAGCCACGCGCCCGCCCTTTCTTATTCTAATCAGCACATGCCTTTACAACTTTCGACAAACCTGCAGAGCAGCCCAAACTTATTCACCCGGCTCTCTTAAAATGTATACGTGGGCTCCGACTTTTCCTAGGTGGGTGCATGGCATGGGGAGGGGGAACCCCCTAACTCGATGGGTGCAGGCTCACTGTGATCCCCATTTTTCTCTCTTCGCCAACTCTCTCACCTGCACAGTGTGGAAGTCCTGAGTTGCTGGAGCACCAAATCTGGGGAGAGGATTCCTTTCCCACATTCTCAGTGACCTGCACATGTGAAGCAGGAGGAGGGGGGGGGGAGGGAGGAAGATTGAGGATTGTTACAGGAAAGGATAAATAGGTTGCCTAAAACTAAGCAACCATGTTTAATAATATTGCATCTTTAAAGCCAAATCCTAGGCAAATCAGGGAAGTTTAATTGTCATTGCATTTAATTTGGATTACTCTCAAGTGAAGTGTGCTTTGAACTACACCTGTTAACTCTCCTTTCGACTGGGTCACATGTGAATATGGACTGTTTCTGTTCACTGACTTTGTCTTTGCAGCCGGCTTATCATTGGCGCCCCACTCTAAAGGCCCTGAAACAGATGGGCAACTGAGGCAGTGGCTTCAAGTGAGCACACTGAGGAATAAATTTGATCCCTGGAGATGATTGAGTGTGAGATAGTGTCAAAACAAACATAATCTTGGTAACAATTTTATTTTTTATGATTGAACAGCTAAGAAGACACCAAACTGGCTATGTGTGGCTGCTTAGAATCCATTTTTTTGTGGTGAAACTCAGATCTTTATAAAAAAAAATAGTCCCCCGTTTCTTGTAAATCTTGTCTGTCACTGCGATTGTAAGAATTGGCACAAGACCTGCTGATGCAGGAAGATAAACATGCAGGAGCCTTTTCTTCCAGTTAAGTAATGTCAGTATCTAAAGTAGAAAAAAAAATCATACAAATGTAATTCCTTGGTATCTATTACTAAAAACAACTGTGGAACAACCAAAAACTCTTTTCAAAGAAATGCCCAAGCTCATTCAAAGTTTTCTGCACATATTGATTGATGTCCATTTTCCAATGATTTGAATTATGATTTATTTATCCTTTTGACTTTAGCAGAATTGAACGCCAAGGCAGCAAAAAAGTAACCCTAATCTCCAAGTCTTCACGATCCATTCAAACTCGCATTGAGATTACTTGAAAGTACCGTAAATACAGTTGAAAAAATGAATGAGACACATGACCTCTGGGAAAAGAACTAAAGTCACATCTATTCAGCCAAGGTGGTTTTTGCCAATATTTGAACTTGGGTGTGGATTGATCCCTAAATCCATTTAGGATAAGCAAATTGGAACTCTCCAGATATTTTGGACTATGACCCTCATCATTCCTTGCTATTTTACTAGGGAATTCCAAAAAAGCTGCAGTTACCATGTTTCTTATCTTGAACTGAATCAGAGTTCACCCAGCCAATGTACATGAAACTATCTAGCTTGTTATATCAATCAATAGCTTGGACCTCAAAGCAATTTCCTCCATGTGAACGCCTCATGTCTTGGAGTTATCTTTTGTGTGTGGGAAGCTTTCAGATTAAATTAATGGCAAGCTATGACTAATTAATAACAATCCTTTGGGTAGATTTCCCCTCCCCCCCAAAAAACCCACCTAATCCTATTTTAGTTCACTGCCTATATTGCTGGGGATGATGATGGAAGTTGCTGACTGTTTCTTCTGGAAGACGCGGGAATTGGGAAGGATGATTGTTTTAGTCCAATATCAAGGAAAGGTTTCCCATCACTGACTGAGCCATTATAGAATCAGTACCTCAAGTAAGTAATGTTAATCATCATCCTTCTTAAAAGTGTCATTTTGCTTACTCAGTGGATACATATAGAGTGGGGGGATGAGATTGATTAAATCCTAGAACTTCCAAATGGAATTACTGAATCGTTCTGACTTGGATTCTGTGGATATAGTGGGGTTAATGGAATTTGTTGCAGTGAGACCTCTCCTCCAAATGGCTTAATCTTCAACTAGCCCACACTGTATTTGGAAATAGAAGCAATACTATAACTGGGTTACCCAGATAGAAGCTCATCTTGCATTCATATCACCATGCCAGGCACGTTATGATGTAGATTCCAATATTTTCAGATCAGTGATTGTTCAATGTCCAGTTAGAGGCATGACTTTTATATAGACTGTTGGCCATTAACCTATTGGTTGAGGCCGAGACACGTCACATCACACTTCTTTCCTGCAAAAGATTACTTGGTTTTACTTCTCCCAAACTGGCAGGAAAGTTTGCAGTTCTTGAAGTTGGGGGCTTCAGTTTTCCACTAGCCATGAGAAATAGGACCTTTTACAATGTGATGTAAACTTGCTTGAAGTTATCTTACCCAGGGTGCCTGCTGGCCACCTATACCCATCTCTAGAAAGCTCCATTCCATCCTCTTTTCCATTTCCCTTCAACAGCCTGCATCCTGTGCCCTTTAACTCAATTTTTAATAGTTTTTTTAAGCCTGCACATTTTGCTATTTCCTTTTTTAAACGGATGCTTCCTTTTTGTATTACATCCATAGCTACCTTAATTCTGGCTATGTACATACCTACAAATTCAATATGAATGACAGTTAAATTGAACCCTCTGTGTTCAAGGAACTAAATGGGAAAAGAAATGTGTGTTGCCTTGATGCTTATAAACATAGGTTTTGGTTTGCATATTGTGTGGAATTGTTTTTGCTTAACTCTAGTTTCTTGAGTATGCTTCAGTTGATTGGGTTCACACCACAGAAATTTATATATTATATTAATGATTAACAATCCAGGTAGTCACCTTATCATTTATATCCAGATAACAGATAACATTTGACCAAGGACTCTCTAAAACTTCTTACTTGAAGGTATCTTGAGCTGAACTTTCTCCAGACCAAACAAGTTCTCTGCCCCTTAGTTATGACTGCTGCGTGGCAGAGGAAATGGTCGAGCAAGATACATTCTTGATCTACCCTTTATCATTTTGTCTTGGCTATTTCCGGCCTCAGAAAAGGCCGCTCAGTCTTGCTGGAGAAGGGTAACTACAAAGGTTTTTGCATCCTCCCCAGAAGGAAGTTGCAAATCTTCCACTTCTCAGATCACCCGAATCTTCAATCTGACATTTTTTCAGAGCCTTTGGGAGCCAACTGGGCAAATTCTCAGACTGCTCAAAGGACATGGTTTCTTTTTTCTCTGTTCTCTACAGAAAGAGCTTCAGGTCCCCACCCTCTCAGATCTTGCTTCCTCCCCCCCTTTCCCCCCCTCCCCTAAACAGGAACAAATTCACCTTGTCTTTTGCTTCTAACATTTTGTCTGTGCTGGTTAATGAGTTCAACATAGTACAGTAAATTTGCTGAGGAATCAAAAAGTATTTAAAAGGGGCTTGTGGTGCTGCCTTAATGAAAAAGGTAAGGATTTATCACTTTTTTTCTGGCTGTTTTTTTTCCAATCACCCTCTTTTCTCTCTCAACCTCCCCCCCCCCTAGTCTATTCAACATACTTTAACTTAAGCTGCCTTTGCATTGAGTTGGGGGGGGGGGTAGGGAACAGCCAGCTAGAGGGACTGAAGCTGAAAGTGTGAGAGCGGAATCTAGAGACATGCAGGAGCTAGGATGAAAAAACGCCATTTGGTTAGGAGCAGATGGCTGGCCAGGGGGGTGGATTGCATCTAAAGGCGTGTCATCCCCCTTCAGCTTGAATCCCTGAGGGCTCCCCTTGTCTTCAAAATCAATGAAAATTAAAGTGCAGAGAAAGGATGAATGGAGGGACCCCGAGTCTCTTCTTTGTTCAGCCCAGCTACTGGTGGGCAGGAGTTAAACTACAACAGCCTCCTATAGAAACACTTAAGTTAAACAGTCTCCCCGTTAGCCCAGAAGCATCTGAGAAGAAGGGGCGGGGGAGCAAAGCAAAGAGGAAGGGGAGAGCAAGGGGGGGGGGGAAAGGGGCTTTCTGCTTGATTTCCCCAATACAGAATCGCGTGGCATAAATTAAGTTGGAAGAGAATAAGCGCTTTGGGTAGGATTCTGATGGATTTTATGACGCCTTTCAGTTCCGCTTTGCAGACCTAATCGAGAAATCTGTGCTGCGTCAATTTAACAAATCCTTGAGAGCGAAGGCAGGTTAGTCAAAAAGATTTGGAAAGACTTTTTTTTAATGGGGAGGCAGGGGTGATCCAGGGGAAGCAGGCTTTTAAGCCCTTGCACGCGTTTAAGTTTGATTCACACTCCTTCCCATAACAGGAATGTCAAATGAATATCTAGAAAGTCTGGCTTCGAAGATCAAATCACCATGGATCCTAAATCTGCTACGCCTTTATTCTACGACACCCCTGACTTAACTGACCTAGGAAAAGATGCCACCACAGCAAATTTCTCTTTGCATCTCTTCATCCTTCAGCCTGGCAAATGTCTAAGAAGAACAGATAAAGAGTATTTCTCTTGCACAAGAGGGCATGTTTTGCACAAGGATTTTTAGTATTAATGAGATCCAGAAGGGTGGTTTTTGGTATTGGAGGAATTTCCAATATATTTCTTAGCTGTTGTAGATTGTATACTAATTGTATGATAGTTTCTCTGAAAATTGCCTCAAAGGCGAACAGGGAACCTAAAGTGAGTCTACTCACTCTGTTTACAATCCCTGAAAACAACTGCTACAATGAAATCTCTTGAGCTTTTACAAAAACTCTGAATAATTGAGAGTAACAGAATGTTACTTCAATGTATAGAACTAATTACAGATGAATAGATGATACTCCTTGTTTAAATAAATCTTTACATGAATCAGTAGTATAAAATTAAAATATGTGTCCAAACTCGAAAAACTTGCCAACACTGCAGCTCTAAATGAGACACTACAGGATTTCTCCCAATGGGTTCAAGAGAAAGTGTTTCCTAGGGCCTATTTTAACTTACTTAAAGTAGTTAAAATTATTCTTTTTCTTTCTAAACAAGTTGCATCAGACCAAGAATGTAATGCAACCACAATTATTTTCTTCAGAAAACATTTACAAATGCAATATACAACTACAAACATATCTGCTGTTTTGCTATCCTGAGCAGCAAAGGATCATTTATGTTTCTGTGGAAATGCACTTACCCAGACATATACTTTATTACACACTCAGATTTCTTTGTTTTTTTCACAGGCATTCCCCCTCTCATTTTAAATCAGTCTGTCTGCATATATACCTTGTCCATCAGTATTCCTCATCCAGATGCTCTTGTTGTTTAATGGAACTACAATCCCCTTCAACTTGTAGGCCAATATACATGAAAAGCACTGAATGCAGAAAGCTTACAATAAGGTATAGGTTAGCAAGAGTAAGCAGATGAACTTTCAAGATACCCAGTTGATTATTCTCTGACTAATTTATTTATCTGTTATTGGGAAGTTTTTAAAGAAATGAATCACTGCCTGGAAAAAAGATAAATACTAAGTATACTCCATGCATTTGACATGCAAACTTAAATAAACAGCAACATTTCTTCACTGGTTCTGTGGTATATTTGGATCATTTATTTTTCTGCAGCAGCCTGAATTCCTTACATATAACACCTTTTAAAAGCAGACATTCATACCGTGGTTAGAGTGAAAATCAGTGTCTGTCCCATTTTGAGGTGATTAATTTGAGGTGAAGATATATGAATGTCATTTTATAGTTTTCTGATCTGGTTGGCTTTCTGAATTTGCCTTTAATAAACTCAAGACTGCTTTGTGCAAGATGATTTGCACCATTTCCAAAATCTGATTATTGGGCCTCTGGTCAGCAAATTATGTGCATAGAGGCAAAAATCCATTCAGACCTATCAGAGACCAAGTCACATGGCTGGAATGTTGCCTCTGCTTATAAACTATCATTACCTTTCATATTCAAAAAACCAAAAATTAAGATATTTGATCAGAAAGAGCCAACATTTTGCAGAAACTGCATTCCCTACCCCATGCTTTTGACAGCTTGTATTAAACTAAGGTTTGTTTAACAACAGTCTTCTCCCTCCAAGAACTACCACCTTAATTGGCTAAATGTACATAATCAAGAACCAAACTATTTCTTGGCATACCATGCTGGGTAAACCCAGCTATTAGATTCAACGTTAAATTTCTCGTATGCCACCAGGAAAAGTAGACTTGTCTTCTCCAATGCATATCCAATTAGTGATTTTCTTTTAATTGACCTTCAACAGCAATTGGATTTGATGAAGTGGTTTAGATTGTTTTTTCTCCCTCTTGCACTCCTCACTCCCCTTCCCCCCCTCCGCACGCCCAACACGCACATTGTAAGGCAATTTGTGATCAAGCCATCTGCTTCAATGAAAGTCGCATTTTATCATTGGAAAGGCCGTTCAAATCCCATAATGTGGCCATAAAGATTTCCAGCGGGCCTTACATACAAACCTCTTTCACCATTCTAAGCTGCCCCGGAATCTCTAGCATTTCAAATGACGTTTGCGCAGATAGATAGGCTGCATTAAAACTGCCTGTTTGTGGAGGGGTTTTGCAACGAGGCCCATCTTCCTTTCCCTATCAAGGGCAATTTCCTGGCGTTGCTGTTGCTTAATTCTAAGTTCTTGCTTCCAGGAAGGCAGACTTACTAAATTTTACTCTGATAGCAGAGCGTTTCTCTTATATGCGTGCATTTTAACCAATATAAAAGCTTCCGTGTTGATAAATGCGTTAAAAGGAAAGGGAGGGACAGGGAGAAAAAACGCCGTTGACACAAGGTTTCCCCCCCCCCTCGTTTCGGATAAGGTAGGGAGGGGAAGGAAGGCCGTGGAAAGGGATTTCTTTTTAAAATGGGCGCACATTGTTGTAGAGTCAGTAGCGTGCGCTGAGGGGAGCTCTTTCTCTCGGTTGCATTGTGCAGAGCAGGTGCTTGTCCACATTACCATACAGCTGAGGGCACAAAGCGCCAACTGATGCAGGCCTCCCATAATAACAAACTGCCTTAATGACAGCCACGCGAACGACCCACACCGCTCACGTTAAACACACACACGCACACAACACAAAAAGTACGCTCAGAAAAAAAAGGGGGGGAGGCAGAAAGAGACAGCTCAAGGCAGAGGGAGAGAAGGGGAGAAGAAACGAAGTTGGGGCCTCGCTCGTTGCAAGTTCGCCAAGAATTCAGGGGAAAGGGAAAAAGAAAGGGGGGGGGAAGAGGAGATGGAGTGGAGCGAGGGACTGAAAGAAGTTCTTTTGGGGTCTTTAAAAAGCAAGACTGTTTACCCAGCCAATCTTCCCTCGTCCGTCCGTCCCTCCCTCTTCTCCCCCTCTTGGAACTTAACACAAGGCAAGTGTCTTTTCCGGATTGTTTGCAACTGAAAGTCTTCGGGGTTTATTGCGCGTAAGGATCCCGGGGAAAGCGCGCAGGGACTTTTTGGAACCTTCCCATCCAACTCATCGCCCCTGTCTCTGGCTCTAGGATTCCCAAAACTCCATAGCGCAAGTAACCGAGGGTTTAACCGCCTTTGAAAAACCAAGACTGTCCAAGACACTTTGGGAATCTGACTGCGTCCACGTCTCCCGAATTCTCTTTTCCTTCCCTTGGCCCGTTTCTCCCAAGACGTTATGAAATACAAAAGAGACTTCAAGAGATGCTGATTCCCAGCGGAAGACACTCTACTGTGCTAGATAGATGCGTTGCACTACAGTTCCCATCGCTTTGGGTCAAGGTGATGGGAATTGTAATCCGACGTCGGAAAGGCTGGAGGGCAGTGAGTGGATTTACGCATCCTTGCAGGCTGCGCTTAAGCAAAGAAGCGAGCAAAAAAAGCTCGGTGCGCGCACGCTAACACATATACACGTTTTTAAGACGTTTCCAAAAACGCAGCGTTTTTCGATGCTTGAAAGGTTTCCTGCCTTTTTCCTATTCAGAGAAGAAAAAACGCGAGCGAGGCTATTGGGAAAGGAGAGCAAGGGTGTGCGTGTGGCTGACGGTTTTTGCGGTTACCAAATTTGCAGGCATGTAAATCAGCGCCCCCTCCCCTTTCAGATTTTGGTGGGAGCTGGAGGGGAGGGGAAGACGAGGGTTGCCCATTTTACAGCTCACTGACCATTTGGTGATCCATTGAGAGGGAGGCTTGGAAAAGTGGTTCCTTTGTGACCGCTCTAGCCAGATTGGGGGGCTGCTCATTTGCATCTCATTAGCCATGCAGGCGGCCGGCGAGATATAAGGCAGGCAGGCGCCCGAACGCAGGCAGATCCTTTGCGCTACAGAGCAAGCCAGCGAGCAAAAAACTAAAAAAAAAAAGAAAAAAAACCGAAAAAGAAAGAAAAAGGGAAAAAAAAGGGAATACTTTTACCCCAATCCAGCAGGCAGTTTCAAGGCGAAAGCAAAGCTCACCCATGACTAAAGCGGAGAGCAGACATTAACGCGGGCACCGCCAAGCCATCGACTTTGGAAATCCACGAAGCAATAACATTTTGCCTTGGGGGTTTTTTTGCGCGCGGGGGGGGGGAGGGAAGGCTTGGATTTCTTTTGTTTTTAAAAAAGCAACACATCGATCGGAATTCATTACCAGAAAGTGGCGACCAGCAAAGCTTGGGATTTGAAAACGGCTGCTTGTGCGTAATCGCCAACCCCTCTCCGCAAAACTAAAAACACATGCACGCCAAAACAAAAAACCCGCCACTCTTTGCCTGAAGCCACCGGGAATTATCTTCTCGTCACCTGAGGGATTTCCAGATCGTTGATTATTTTAATCTGCTTTGGGAAGTCTTTTCTTCGTCCCTGGGAATTAAGTGGCTTTTTCTCTCCTTTGCTTTGGTTGGAGCAAGAGAAACCAAAGCGCCAAGAACTGTATCTGGAAGGGGGAAGCCAAGAGGAGGGTAGTCCTTTTTTCCTTGCGCCTAATTCATCTTTAAACAAGATCTGTCAGTCAACTAAAGGGCGTATCTGAAACGCATCGACGAGGGGGGTCGCAGGGGGAGAAAGAAAGAGACTCCAAACAAATAAATCATCATTCTAATCCCCCTCCGGCCAGGCTCGGAGCGGAGAAACGTCCGGAACCCTCGACTTGACAGAAGCTCGTCTTGGTTTGCAGTTTCTTCCTTTGGAAAGGAAAACCGGGGACAAGAAGGGAAGAAGCCCAGACCACTTCCTTCCCCTTCCCCCCGCTGCCAAAATGGGTGGACGGTCCATGCTGGCTTTAGTCGTCTTTTGCTTGCTTCAGCTTCCCTGTCAGGTAAGCCCTCGGGGCGGTGAGGGGATGCGGAAAGGGGAGCGGAGAGTGCGTGCAGATGGGGTTCTAGTATTCCATCATCCACAAAAGTTGGCGACTACTCTCTGGGAGTTAATTGGCGGTCTGGCAATGGTCGGGGTGGGTAACGCGTGAGGAGAAGCGTCGGCAACCTGCGCCTGTCCTCCTCCCTCCAGAAATTTTGGAGAGCCGAGTACCGCGTTCCCACTAGAAGCTT